GCTGAATAATATTCCATTGCACGTATACACCACACTCCGTTTATCCATTTATCCATCAGTGCACATTTGGGGTGCTTTCACCCTCTGGCTATTGTGAATAATGCTGCTATGAACATGAATGCACAAATATCTCTTTAAGATTCTACTTTCAGTTCTGTTGGGAGTATACTCAGAAGTGGAGTTGTCAGATCATATGGTAATTCTGTTTAATTTTTGAGGACCCTCCATACTGTTTTCCACAGCAGCTGCATCATTCGCATTTTAATCAGTAATGCACAAAGGTTCCAGTTTCTCCACATCTTCACCACCACAGCTTATTTTTAACTGCCTTGATTTAAGGAAGCCTCCTCTGACCCTTTTGACTAAGCTAGCCCCCACCATGTCGTCACTGACTTTATCATATTGAAATTTAAATACTTATTTGTGTAATTATTTGTTTAATGTTTGGCTTCCCACTGAACTGTAAGATCTTTGAGGACAGAGACCATGATATCTTGATTATATCAGGTTTGTCCCCAGTAACCAGCTCAGTGCCTGGCGCATTGTAGGTTCTCAAATGTTTCTTCCTGATGAATGAATGACGTTTCTGTTTTAGGAGAATGAGTCGATGGTGCTGGCTTTTTTATAGTAAAAGTGCACAGTAAGTTAAGTAGCATGAAGTGGCAGTCACGATCCCTTAACTGGTTATCTGGGTCCTTATCTCTGCTCTGACCCTTCTGGTTCCTCCAGCTGTCTTGGTGTCTGACCCATAATAGGACAGAGCAATGTTTATGACAATGAAAAAGAATCTGTACCTGGGGGAGTGGAGGAAGGAGAAAAAAAAACATAAAAAAAAAGAATCTGTAAAGAAAGAATGTTTTAAAATGGCCTCAAAGGTGGCCTCCTGGAAACAAGTGTCTCTGGGGAGTCTGAGAGGGGTAGCATCTTGGGGCCTGTCACTGCTCTAGGCGCACAAGGGTTTTCCACCTTGGACCACATTCATGCTTCCTGAAGAGCCTCTCCGTCTTCTAAGCCCAGGGAAGAGCAGTGCGGCAGTGTGTGCTCCAGTCAGCCCTTAATGTTTTTCATTGTTCAGCTCTCATGACAACCCACCCAGATTTAAATTGTTCTGTGTTTCTCTGGGCACTTGTGCTTTTCTCTAGTGTCCACCAAGCACACCTGGCTATCAAAAAACCTCGGTGCTGGAAGAGACCTTGAAGAAAATCTTTTTCAACATCTAAAGTTTGAAGGTTTCAGGGCTCAGTGAGGTGAAGTGCTTTTCCCAAAGTCCCTGTAACTTATGAACAGAGGGGGGACCTTGGTCCAGCTACCTAACTCCTAGTGCAAGTATTTTTTTCTCCTGGCTAGATCATGGCTGTGTCAAAGCAAAAATTTCCCTGGACAAAGTTAAACAAAAAAGACTTTATTCAAGGCTACTGCGATAGGGTATAGCACCAAGCCTAAGTGAAGAAAATATTTTCTGACCCTGAAAGGTTTGGATCCCCACCCAGGTTTTCCGACAATGAGATGAAACTGTATTACCACCACGGTGGCCTGTTCTGCTCCTGCAGTCATTTCCAGCCACTCACCTGCCCTAGGCAGAGACAGGAATCGGTATGCATGCTTGACTGTTCCATCCCATCCCATGTGTGTGTGTGTGTGTGTGTGTGTGTGTGTCCCCTTCTCTCATAGGGACCTTCCTGTGCTCACTGTATTACAAAACCAGCTTAAATCCCTGTGCAAATATCTCGTTTATTTTTGTTCATTATTCCACTCAAGGATTTGGGTGGGGGTGGTTTCCCCTGAAATTTTTGAAAAGTCTTTCACTGAGGCCTACCTAGCACATAATAGATGCTAAATAAGTATTGTTTGAATGGATAATATCAGTTGTAAAAATTCCAATTACTTAAGAAGTCTAGGTCTTTATAGCTAAGAATCTGTTGGCTACTAACTAAACAAGCATTATGTAAGTATCAGAAGGAAAGACGGTAAATTGCATCAAATTTCTTTTAAATGCTTTCACTCAAAGTGTTTTTTAACCTTTCCCCTCCTCCTCCCTCCCTTTCTTTACCTTAAGTCATAAAACAAGTACATTTTCCATGGCAACTCACTACACACACACACACACTCTTCACAAAACAATTTTTACCCTCACTATCGTTTCAGTATACTCTGATATTTTTCTATTCTATTTTATTGCTTAAAAAATAAATGTGAATTGAGACCTGTTAAACAGACATGAGCAGAGCAAGGACAATGAGCCAGGTACAGAAACTCACCAGGACAGAAAGCCCCTGATGCCTAGCAAGGGGCAGAATTAGGAAAACAAGAACCTTGTCCCCAGGGTAACCAATCCTCCTCTAACACATCACTGGTCATGTGGTTTTAGACCCCCTAAGCATTTCCTCACTAAAGATAACATCTAGGCCTCAGTTGTATTTCAGCTCCCCGCCCAGAAAAGCAGCAAAACCAGACAAGTGACACCATGGCTGCCTCAGGACCAGCTACATTGACTAATGACCCCCTACCCTGGTGCTGACCAATCAGTGGATACCACGACCCTGAAAGAGCACAACTGGAAAGTTGATGAATATTCTACTCAGATCCTCCCCTGAAAACTCCCCTAAGATTTCTGCCTGCAAGAAAGAGATAAATATGGTCAGTACAAAGGACCCAGAGCATGCTCCCCACTCAGGAAGCATGCCAGTGCCATCTCCATCCCCCTTCTTCTCTCCGAGGGGACTCCAGGAGACTTCCAACCAGGGGAGCAATGGGCAGTGGCAGCTCGTCTGGGGCTTACCCGCTGAACCTGTCTCCAAGGCCCCCTTCTCTCTCTGACTGCTCAGTGAGCCAAAGCAGCCCAGTCTAGGCTCTTCTGTTATTTTTTCCATGCACCTTTCTTGTTTCACTGTCCTAAGTATATTTTTGCTGAAATCATGGACCCAGTACCCTTTGACTCAGTGCTGTGTAGCCCTTCCCTTTGGATATCCCCACCCCCATCCCCTTTTTCTTAAATAGATTCAATTTTTCTTTATTTACCATCTGAGATGGCTATTTAGCCTGTCTGCACACCACTGACCTTAACCTTTCAAGACCCACTACATTAGTCTTATGACCCACTACTGATTGAGACCTAAAATTTGAAAAACAGTACTCTAAAGCTACATAAAAAATGACAAATGGAAAAACTGCTGAATATATTTAATATAAAAGCCAGACCTGGGGATATTTAAAATTTTGAAAATATTAAATTCTAGAAAAGTGGTATGATGTTGGGGTGGGTAAAGGAAAGGGAGATCAGAAACATAATCCTTAGGGTTATAGGGCTCCAGACCCAAATATTTAATATTGGAAAGGGGAAGGAAAATGAGACTAGAAGATAAATGGCACTGATAGGAAATGGATTGAAATACTAATAACTTCATTTGACAAATTCTGCTGAAAACACTTGGGTACACTCCTGAGTCAGGAGACCTAAAAATGTCTAATTCCCAGATGGTATCATCTGCACATCGTGAAACAATATGTTCTTTTAAAATTAATGCAATTTCATTTATTTTTAATGACAAAGTAACACATAAATACATTTTTGTCAAATATTAAAATTATACAGATAAAAACTTCCTCTCGACACTGTTTTTCTTCTCTAGTTCCAGTGACTTTTCGAGAACTCCTTTCAATTCGAATGTACTTCCAAGCCTTTTCCAAAGCAACGAATATGTTCAGATCAACGTACAGCATTTTGTACATTTGTTTTTGCTTGTTCCCTCTGTGTTTTGCTCATTTCCCCTTTCTTCCTGCGATGTGGTGATATAATAAGAAATATATATTTAGCCATCTTTCCCAGTTCTTGGCACAGAGCTCCTAAAACTCAGAATCTCCAGAGTGAGAGTGCCCTTTTGTATGCTAACGGGGTGACTCCTACTGGCTGGTGCTGGTTGGCGGAGGAGAAACTGCTATTAGAGGTTTGGAATTGATCTGCCTCTGGGGAGAGGGGAGGGGGTAAAGAATGACTTTATCATCAACGGCCAATGATTTAATCAGTTATGCCTACATAATGAAACTTCCGTAAAAACCCTAAAAGAAGGGCTTCAGAGAGCTTCTGGGTTGGTGAGCATACGGAGGTGCTGGGAGAGTGGCATGCCATTTAGCTGTTCCTGAGTAGTATTCTTTATAATAAATTGATAATAGTAAGTAAAGTGTTTCCCTAAGTTCTATGAACTGTTATAACAAATTATTGAAATTGAGGAGTTTTGTAGTAGCATCTGATTTATAGCCAGTCAGTCATAGGAGGCCCAGACTTGCAATTAGCATCTGAAGTGCGGGGCAATTTGTGGGACTGAGCCTTTAACCTGTTGAGTCTGCATTAACTCTGGGTAGTTAGTGTCAGAATTGAATAAAATTGTAGGACACCTAGTTGGTGCCCACAGGGAACTGGAGAATTGCTGAGTGTTGAAAACCTACATATTTGGTGTCAGAGTGTTCTGCATGTGTAGGGCACTAGTTTTCTTACATCTGCTTTCTTTTGAGTTATTTGAATATCTTTTAAATATTCCCTTTTAGTTTATTGTTTTTGATCCTATAGGGTGTCCCCAAAAATGTATACACACTTTGAATAATTATTAATTCCAATGAGTTAAATCTGAAAAGAAAGAAACATCAATTGAGCTATCAGAAAAAAGTATGCATGCATTTTGGGAGGACATCTTTTATCTCTTTGTATAGTTTTGTTTTTTGTTTTCACTGATTACAAAATATGTAACTTTTTACTGTCTACTTAGAATCATTATTTTATCACATTAATTGAAATGTACAAAACTTACCACTTTATAGGATTCTTTGCCCCCTCTCTACTTTATACTATAGTCTTATATATTACTTGTACACACATTAAAAATCCCATCAGACAATGTTATAATTTATGCTTTTGATGGGGCACTTATAATATCCAAAGATTGAGCACCTGAATTAACCTGAAATATAATTATACTACTTATAAATTATAGAACACATATACTCACGTGAACAGGGGTTCAAGTTTCTATTCTCTTCCGTTTCTTTTTCCTAGGCCTCTGTGCCTGTACACTCGCCTCAATCCCGGACGAAGCAATTAAGGAGGCGACGCAGCTGTGGACAATGTGTTATTGAACAGGCATAGTCAGGTCCACCCAATCTGGAGTCGAGATATCACCTTATTGCGACATCACCAGATGACCAAGAATAATAGCTGATGCCCGAGGACCTCTGGGGCTGCGATAGCTGCATTCCGTTGTCAGCCAGTTTACCTCATTTCCATGTGTAACCCTACCCTCAGGCCACTCCTTAAGACAGGTTTCCGATGCTTGTATGCTCCCGGTGTTGGTCCGAGGCCTTCTCAATGAACACCTTATATGATTCAGCCCTGCCTCCGGCCTCCTCAATGAACACCTTATGCGATTCAGCCCTGCCTCCGGCCTCCTCAATGAACACCTTATGCGATTCAGCCCTGCCTCCGGCCTCCTCAATGAACACCTTATGCGATTCAGCCCTGCCTCCGGCCTCCTCAATGAACACCTTATGCGATTCAGCCCTGCCTCCGGCCTCCTCAATGAACACCTTATGCGATTCAGCCCTGCCTCCGGCCTCCTCAATGAACACCTTATGCGATTCAGCCCTGCCTCCGTTGAATTGGATCCAGCAATAGGCAGGCCGAACCCCACCGGGGTTTCCTGGTAACACTTTCAACTACCAAACATATTTTCAAGAACTTAAGAGAATAGTCTATTATCTATACTAAGTATTTATCATTTCTGTTGCCCTTGCTTCATCCCTGTTGTTTCAAGTTTTCTTCTTGTTTCTTCGTTCTTCTGTCTGAAGAACTTCCTTTAGCAGTTCTCTTAGAGCAGATCTGCTGGCTGTGAATTTCTTAGTTTTCCTTCATATGAGAATGTCTTTATTTTACCTTCACTCCTGAAGGATATTTTCACTGAAAATAGAATTCTGGGTTGACAGTTATGTTCTTTCAGCACTTTAAAAATGCTGTGTCACTTCCTTCTGGCTCGACAGTTTCTCATGAGAAATCTACAGTTATTTGCATTTATTGTCCCCTCTAGGTAGCACATTGTTTTTCCTCCTGCTGCTTTCAGGATTTTTTTCTTCTTTGTTTTTAGTTTACAGCAGTTGGATTATGAGGTGACTGGATGTAGATTTACTTGTTTCTTTGTTGTTTGCTAGTTTTGCTACTTGAGGATTCTTTTACCTTCTTGAATCTGTAGGTGTATGTCTTTGGTCAAATTTAGGAAAGTTTTAGCCATTATTTCTTTAAACATTATTTTCAGCACTGCAAGGTTTTTTATCTCCTTCTGGTACTATCTTCAAATTTCCTGCTTTTTTCCTCTGTTATTACCATTCTGCTATTGAGTCCATCCAAAGAGGGTTTTTATAATGAGAGAAATAGAAAAAATTTAAAAGAAAAAGATAAAATTAATTTAAAGAAAACATTTTATTTAACTCAATTTATTCAAAATATTATTTCAACATGTAATCAATATTAAAATTATTTTTTTAAAAAAACACATGCTTTTATTGATTTCAGAGAGTGGAAGGGGGAGGGAGAGAGATAGAAACATCAATGATGAAAAAGAGTCATTGGTCTGCTGCCTCCTGCATACCCCCTACTGGGGATTGAGCCAGAAACCCAAGCATATGCCCTGACTGGGAATTGAACTGTGATTTTCTGGTTTGTGGGTCAATGATCGACCACTGAGCCACACTGGCCAGACAATATTCTTAAAGAGATATTTTACATTTATTTTTTTTTATCTTAATTTTTTGAAAGCCAGTATATATTTTATACTTATAGCACATCTCAATTCAGTTGCAAGTTTTCACCAACAATCCCCTGTATGTATTTAGGTTTAATAAAATTTATGGTTGAAAAAAGTAGATTCACTTACCCAAGCTGTTCCAAACACACCTAAAATTTTCCAGTAACTGAAATGAGCATCAGTTTTAAGTTAAAATTAAAATCAGTTAAAATTAAAAATTTAGTCTCTCAGTCATATTGGCCTCATTTCAAGTTTTCAGTTACATATGGTTAGAGGGTAATGATTGAACAGTGCAGTTTTAGACAGAGACTTAATTTCTATCTGTTTGAAAGGGACTTTGAAACTTCTATCTGAGAATAAGTGTTCTTTGCTTTAGGAGGCAAATCGTTATCAATAGAAGAATGCGATGCGCTAGCAATTTGAAACATGGTATTCGTTTTCTAGAGCCACCATAACAAAGTACCACAGGCTGGGTGACTTAAACAATAGGAATCTATTTCCTCACAGTTCTGGTGCCAGCAGGTTTGGTTTCATTCTGAGGCCACTCTCCTTGGCTTAGAGGTGGCCAACTCTTCCCTTTGTCTTCATGTGATCTTTCCTCCAGGTGTGTCTGTGTCCTAATCTCCTCTTCTTAGAAGGACACAGCCATACTGGATTAGGGCCCACCTCCAGGANGATCTTTCCTCCAGGTGTGTCTGTGTCCTAATCTCCTCTTCTTAGAAGGACACAGCCATACTGGATTAGGGTCCACCTCCAGGACCTCATTTAATCTTTTTTTAAATTTTTATTATTTTTATCTTTTTATTTAATATATCTTTATTGATTTCAGAGAGAGGAAAGGAGGGAGAGAGACAGACAGAAGCATCAATGATGAGAGAGTCATTGGGGATCGAGCCCGCAACCGGGCATGTGCCCTGACCGGGAATCGAACTGCGATCGCTGGAATCCTAAGTCCACACTCAACCGCTGAGACACGCCCAGCCAGGCAATCTTAACGATCTCTTTAAAAACCCTGTCTCCAAAGACAGTCACATTTTCAGGTACTGGGGAGTAGGACTCTAACATATGAATCTGGGGGGACACAATTCAGCCCATAACTAGATTAATCTGGATGTCTTTTTCTTCTGTCTTTGATCACCTGCATTCTGGCCACGAGACAAAATGTTTCCAGTTCCCTCAGTGTGTTATCGTTGCTGTGGAACAAACTGTTCTAAAACTTAATGGCTTAAAACAATATATATTTATTAGCTCCCAGTTTCTGTGGGCCGGTCTATCTGGGGAGGTCTGGCTCACAGCCTCTGTAATCAATATGTAGGCCAGGCTGAGAGGGGGCACCCGCTTCCTAGACGGCTCGCCCACAAGGCTGTTGGCAGGAGGCTGCTGGAAGGGCCGGGCAGTGTGGCAGCGGCCTGTCCCACAGAGAATGATCCCCTGGAGAGGAAGCTGGAAGTTGCAGCACCTTTTATGACCTCTCTCCCGACCTGCACGCCATTGCTTCCGCTTCATTCTGTTGTTGTTTTTTAATATATCTTTATTGATTTCAGAGAGAGGAAAGGAGAGGAAGAGAGAGAGTTAGAAACATCAATGATGAGAGAGTCATTGATCGGCTGCAGCCCGCAACCCGGGCACGTGCCCTGACCTGGAATCGAACCCCGATCGCCTGGATCCTAGGTTGACGCTCAACGGCTGAGCCATGCGCGGCTGGCCATTCTGTCCATTAGGAGCAAGTTACTAAGCCGAGCCTACGCTTAAATGAATAGGCATTGGCTCCACCACTTGAATGAAAGAGTGTCCGTGAAATTGTGAACATATTTTAAACCCACCACACCTAGTGAGGAAGTAGAAGGTTGGGAAAATTCAGTAAATAAAGCACCATGTTTATCTACTTTATTTATTTATTATTTATTTTTAAATTTATATTTATTGTTGAAAGTATTACAGATGTCCCCCCTTTTCCCCCCCTTCGACACCCTCTCACCACGTTTTCTAGCTTCTAAGTTCAAGAGCTATGGTCCATCTCTTAGACCAAACAAGATCAGGAAAAGATGCAAGCCAGTAAAACAAACTAGACAATCCCTATGAGCTGGTGCAAGAGAAGAATCTGGAGTGGAGATGCAGAGTGGGGGTGATGTAAGTCCCAGTCTAGAGTGAAGGCAACTAACCCCCAATAAAATTCTCCTTAGTGTTTAGAGTCTGAGAACAGAGAGAAACCAGGCCATACTTCTGAACAGCAAATATCAGGAGCAAGTCCCCAGGCTATCAGACTATGGAGTCATGCAGACAAAAGGGTACATATGCATATCTGTGTTCTTCTCTTTTTAAATTGTCTGAACTATTAGTGTGTCTTTATTTTTCCACTGCTGTTTTAGAACAGTCTAAACAAGTCCCCTAAAAATCCTGCTAAGGTTTCAATTAGGACTGCTTTGAATTTATAGACTAACTTCGGGGATAATTGACATCTTTACAATGTTAAGTTTTCTCATCTAGAAACATAAACATCTATTTATATCCACCTTTTATTCTATATCTTTCAATAAAGTTTTTTCTGGAAAGATTTTGTGCATATTTTGTTAGGTTTACTTCTAAATATTTTATATATATTTATTGATGTTGTCCACTTGATGTCAGTTTCCAGAAAAAATGTGTTAAGATCTCCTCTTATGTTTATGGATTTGCCTTTATTTCCTTATAATTCTGTCAATTTTAAAAATATTTATATATAACAGAATGTAAAAATTGAAATTTTGATCAGGGCATTGTCAAAGATTCATAAATAGCTGAAGTAAAACCAATGAATCCTTGAAAGAGTAATTAGTAAAAATTTATTGGGCACGTACCAAAAAGACAGTTTGCAAACTGGCAGCAATAAAACCAAAATATGGAATGAGGCTCAGGGGTATGTTGTTATAAAGCAGTTTGTACAGTGAGAAAGCAGAGACTGTTCATCATAGTGATCCGTTATAATAGAATTTTCTTAAGTGATAGGGAATTTCTCAGTGGCTACCTCATACCAACTTTGGGAATCAGTTTGTTTTGCTTATGATTTTCAGAGGCATAAGCAAGAAATAACCAAGGTCAAATTAGTATTGCAAAATAAGCTGAATTATGCTTTATTTTCAATGACTAAACTGGTTTTGTCTGCTCAGAGAATTTTCAAGGTTAGTGGCTGTTTGTATTTAACAACACCCAGATATTATAGATGAGAAATTCCAAAGCCATGTCACCATACGTAAATATTCAAAGAAAGTGTTTAAAAAGTCATTTCATGACTTTTAAAACCTCTCAGTTTAAGAACATAAAGAAGGAATCAGAGTATGGAGAGGGACCTACTCTGTTTCTAAAGAGATTGCTGAAGAGACTTCTTTGGAAAGAGATGGTCCTTTGTTACTAACGCCTGCCTCACTCTGAACCTTGGAGGAGGAAGGAGGTGCTTCATCTCAATTTTCTTTCATGTAAACAAGTACTACTCCCCCTGAAAGCCCTAGCTTTCCAAACCTCCCATCCAATTCCTTCCTCAAAGGGCTTTGTTT